AGCATCTCAGCAGCCACGTTTCCATTTAATTACACCTACATCTCTTTAGAAAGTGGTTTTATTAAAACCTTGGCTGTTTGCTGATGACAGAAATCTTCTACCCTCACCACAAATGAAAGACAAGGACATCTCTTATAAAATACTTTAAACAGATGAACTGATCCCAAAGCCTGCCAGACCCCGTTTGGAAGAGTTGCATGTTAATGGCGTGTTTATACACTTAGCAAAATCAGCTTCAGGAGTCCCAGGCATTGGGAGCCAGCACCCACACCAGTTTGCAGAGACATGCTACGCCAAGGGCTCCCACGGTGTGGACACCCACGTGCTCACTGGTTCCTGCTGGGTTCCTGGCAGCAGCACCCATGGAGCTGGATGGACTGCCTGGCAGGACTGCTGCCCTGGGCACCAGGCAGAGCTGCTGGTGGGGTTGGGATGACCCCAGCACCCAGGGTGAGGCTGGTGAAGGCCCAGTGTGTTTTGGGGGCCTGTGTGGTGCTGGAGAGGCAGGTCCAGTGGGAAACTCTTCTGTCTAGTCCATCTCCCTCAGCACCTTTGCTAGTCCTTCACCTTCCAGGAAATTCCCCTTTGTCCCAATACAGCAATTTTGGTCTATCGATTTTTTTTTTTAAGGTACGTTCTACTCTTACCTTGGGGAGTTAACCACAGGCACCTTGGTTTGGATGAAGGCAGTCTTTCTGTCCGTAATTCTCATCACCTTTCATAAATAATTCCATATGTTGTGCCGAGTGTCTGACTTCACCCTGTACATCTCCATGGCTGGGGCGGCTGTGGCTGCAGCTGCAGCGTGATGCGGGACCGGGATGAGGGCCCACCACTCACCAATGTCACTGACTGATGGCACTCATGCAGCTCCCTCCCTCTCCTGCGCCTGCTGGCGCTATGCTGTGAATCAGGCCAAGCCAAATTACCCATTTTCAGCCTTACTTGGCTTTTCAGCCATCTATGTCTGAGCAGAGTCAGCCTGTTGGACAAGTTGGTGCCCCCAGTAAGATGTTGTGGGCATCACACAAACTCTTTGGATCTGAAGATGTAGTGTAACTTGCTGTTTTCCTTGTCACAGATTTCATCTTCCAGAAGGAACTGTTTGCTGCCAGAGACACAGGTGAGCTGAGTAAACCATGGCACGGGCTTTGTGGATTAACCCCCCCAATAGGGGAGTGCTTTGGGAGCTCAGCAGGACATGCCTGAGTCATACCATAAACCTGCTCTCATCTCTAGGGGAGGGCTCTGGCTGCACACCATGCTGCTCTAGCACTGTCCCGTATGTGCATCACTGCTGGGCTCTGCAGCCTTGTTCCCCCCTAAGACCTTTGCTCTCTGTGTGCTTCTCCAGGGCACACGACGTCTGTGCTCCTGCTGGGATGCGGTTTCTGGCTCTGCAAAAAAGGACTATCTCACCCTGGCTGAAGGGCTGTCCTTAGCTCTGACCCTGCTTCTCTCTCTGCAGCCTGTGTGCCTCCTCTACTGCTAAAAAGGGCACAAAAAGTGCCTCCAGGGAACTTCTGGGGGAAGGCTGTAGGGGCAGAGAAAGACTAGGAATGCCATGAGATTTCTGAGCACTAGCCAAGAGTAGTGATGGCCTGAGAAACTGAGGAGGTAGCAAATGCTGCCAGCACAGGCTGGAAAGTCTGATATTCTCCCTTTCTGTCCCCATTCCCCTTGCAGACTCCATGCACAACCTTTCTGCTCAGCCCTGGCAGGCAAAGATGGCCAATCTGACCTATGACAACTTCACCCTGGGCAACCGCTCCGAGGTGACCATCCAGCCTCCCACCAACTACAAGACAGTGGAACTGGTTTTCATTGCCACAGTCACCGGCTCGCTCAGCCTTGTCACTGTGGTGGGGAACATCCTGGTGATGCTCTCCATCAAGGTGAACCGCCAGCTCCAGACCGTCAACAACTACTTCCTCTTCAGCCTGGCCTGCGCGGACCTTATCATCGGGGTCTTCTCCATGAACCTCTACACTGTCTACATCATCAAAGGCTACTGGCCTCTGGGGGCTGTGGTGTGTGACCTGTGGCTGGCTCTGGACTATGTGGTGAGCAATGCCTCTGTCATGAACCTGCTCATCATCAGCTTTGACCGGTACTTCTGTGTCACCAAGCCCCTGACGTACCCTGCCAGGAGGACCACCAAGATGGCAGGGCTGATGATTGCAGCTGCATGGATATTGTCCTTCATTCTCTGGGCCCCTGCCATCTTGTTCTGGCAGTTCGTTGTGGGCAAGAGGACAGTCCCTGAGAGGGAATGCTACATCCAGTTCCTCTCCAACCCAGCAGTGACCTTTGGCACGGCCATTGCTGCTTTCTACCTTCCCGTGGTCATCATGACAGTGCTGTACATCCACATCTCCCTGGCCAGCAGAAGCAGAGTGAGGAGACACAAGCCTGAAAGCAGGAAAGAGAGGAAAGCCAAGTCCCTCAGGTTTCTCAAGGGCCCCCTGATCAAACAGAACAATAATAACTCTCCCAAGAGGGCTGTGGAGGTGAAGGAGGAGGTGAGGAATGGGAAAGTGGATGACCAGCCATCAGCACAGACAGAGGCCACTGGCCATCAGGAAGAGAAGGAGACATCTAATGAGTCCAGCACTGTCAGCATGACCCAGACCACAAAAGACAAGCCCACAGCAGAAATCTTGCCAGTGGGTCAAGGACAGAGTCCGTCCCACCCACGGGTGAACCCAACTTCCAAGTGGTCCAAGATTAAGATCGTCACCAAGCAGAGCGGGAGTGAATGTGTCACCGCCATTGAGATCGTCCCAGCTAAGGGCGGAGCCTCCAACCACAACTCCCTGGCCAACAGCCGCCCAGTTAATGTTGCCAGGAAGTTTGCTAGCATTGCCAGAAGCCAAGTACGGAAGAAGCGCCAGATGGCAGCCCGAGAGAAGAAAGTCACCCGCACCATATTTGCTATCCTGCTAGCCTTCATACTCACATGGACTCCATACAACGTGATGGTCCTCATTAACACCTTCTGTGAGACCTGCGTACCTGAAACAGTGTGGTCCATTGGCTACTGGCTCTGCTACGTCAACAGCACCATCAACCCAGCCTGCTATGCCCTCTGCAATGCCACTTTCAAGAAAACCTTCAAGCACCTTCTCATGTGCCAGTACAGGAACATTGGCACAGCCAGATAAACTGGCACTCAGGGACCACTTCAGTAACATTATGGCAGCCCTTCCCTTTGCCTCCTTTGCCAGCAGGGGTTCCTCTGCTCCCCACTCACAACAGTGCAGACTGTGCACTGATTGCAGATGATGCCCTTCATCTAATGCTGACAAAGATCCAAGGCACCTCTGAGTTGCAAGTCCTTCCAGGGCCTGGGGACTTTCTGCTTGGGGAGCCAGCAGAAAAGCCAGAGGCAAGAGGAGGAGATGTGGTCACTGGGAGCTGTCCCCAGCTCCATACTCTTGAGATTGGCCAAATGACATCAGTGTTTCTCCTAAGACCGGATGCAACTTCTCCCCTGGCTGACTGTCTCCAGGGCATCAAAGCTTGTCTGCATGCAGATGGGCTGATGTTGGTTGCTTTCAATGGGCTTTTAAAAGTGTTTATTACCCAAGAAATGAAAAGCAACCAGGGCCAAACATTTGCTAGACATCTTGTACCAGGCTGGCTCAGACATGCTAATGGGGAGTTCTGCTGGCCCAGCCAGGCCCCCTTCCAAGGCAGGCAAGGTTGCACCCTAACGCGTGGCAAGTTCCTTCCTTTCTCCTGAGAGTGCCATCGGACATCCTCATGGAGGGACCTAGGACAGAATTTTTCCCTGGGCTTTGGCTCCGCTGTCCTCTTCATGCCCTTTCTGCCCTCAGCCAGCAAATGGCTGGACAAACAAGCCAAGCATCTCACTCCTGGATGAGGAGTGTGAAGCCCAGTCACCTCCTCCAGTGATGGAAACTAAAACTGCCAAGAAAAGCAGTGGTGTGGTGCAGGAGTTAGCTCCACAGCCTGGGGAACACAGCCCCTGAGAACTGGGCAGCAGTGACTGTGAAATTAACTGTCTTTGAGTGGGACAGGGGGGACCTGGGGGTCTTGGAGGCAGGTGGGAAGAGAGTTTACAATGTGGCCGAGTTGCTCTGTGTCTCATCTGAACCATGAGCAGGTCCCCACTATCCCCACAGTGAGTGTGGGAGGCCTGGTGCATGGTTCTGGAGGCGGGAGAGGGTGGCAGTGGCCCTCTTCTGCCCTGGGTGCAGCGGGATTCTCCAGGGAGGTTGAAAGAGCCAGTTGCTGGAGCTTTGTAAATGGATGTAATGCTGTCGTGGGTGTTGTGGCAGAGCCCTCAGCATGCGGGCTTCAGCCAGCGTCCCCAGCCTCCCAGCCCCGCTGTGTGTGCAACCCAGGCCATCCTGGGACTGCTCCTCAGCTTCCTCCAAAGCCAGGTTTCTGGATGCGCTGGGGGACACAGTCAGGTGTAGACAAGGAATGGGATAGGGCCACTCTAACAATGGCAAATTTCATGTCCATATTTCTTTCCCGTCCTCACACCAGGATGATGCTGTGTAACCTGGAGAAAGGCTGCCCAACCCAGATGGAAACCCCTCCACCACTGCCTTTAGGATAATTCACACAGGTGCGCCCAAAATGCCTGGTGGGCTTCTGGGTGTATTCAAATGGTTACAACTGTGGCCCAACCCATCCCATCCCATCCCAAGACAAATAAAGACCTTGGATCAGAAAACAACAACCACAGCGTGAGGAGTAAATGAGTCATCACCTGGGTGCTCCTTCCCAACTTCCCAGTGTCAACTACCGGTGACATTTCCTGCAGCGTGGGTGGCAGCCCCATCCCTTCTGCCGAGGTTAAGGTGAGGTGGCCTGAAGCCCATGTGTTTTCTCCAGGACCATGCTCATGTGGCACCCAGGCAACCACCGCCAGTTGCATGGTAACTTCACTGCTGGTCCCAGTGTGGCCAGCAAAGATGGGGTTTGCTGGGGCTTCCAGCACAGCAGCACTTCATGGGGTCAACAGGTTGGTTCTGATACTTTTTAAAAAAAGATTTTATTGGAAAAGAAAACAAACCCCATTTCCAAAAGGAGTGAGAGTTCCCACCCAGCACCAGTGTTGGTGTGGCAAAGGCAGAGGGACTGCAGCCCCGATAAGAACACACATGGTTAGAAGTGATAGAGGAGAGGAGACACAGTGGTTCCTGGGGTGGTTGTGTTTACCTCAGCTGCAGGTAATTCATCCAAAGGGATGCTGGAATAAGCTTCCTGAGCTGAGATCAGTCCTCAAGTGAGTAAGGGGCATGAGTAATGGGGTTACTCTGGCATTTAACACCCATCCCTTCCTTCTGTCACCTCTGCTGGTGAAGGAACAAGGAGGGTCCTGGACTTGCCAAAGGATGTGCTAAAGGCAACTCATTTGTGCTGCAGGGTGGAAAAATGTGTGTTCCCATCCCAGCTCTCTGGGTGCATCCCAGCGAAGCCCACCACCAGCCAAGAGGAGATGAGTGAGATGCACTGGCAGCGGGGTCGCAAGGATGGGAGCAGCCTCTCCTGCGGGGTGAGTGGGTGGGTTTGCTCTCTACAACACTAATGATTAAAACAAGGCATCTCAGCAAAACAGGAGGTCATGGAAAGGAGGAAGTAGAGGAGAAGGAAGACTGTAGCATGGGCCAGCTGCAGCTGGGCATCCAGTCCTGTAGGCACCATGTTGAGGGGCCGATGAAGATGATGGCTTCCCGTTCTAGTCCTTCCCCTTGCCCTTCTTTGCTGCATTCGAGAAGAACAGGAGACAAGAGTGAATGCATCTGCTGGAAGCTCACTGGTCCCCCAGACAGAGCTGTGGTACAAATGTAGTCAGCACAGCCAGAGTGGCATGGCACAGCAGCCACATCCCTGCAGGTGGCCGCCTGCCGTGTAAAACCAGGGGATCCCCATCCCACCAAAACTGGCAGTGACTTGCGGGGAGACCAAGGTTTTTCCTAGAAGCACTTGCATCCCACCCAGCCAGCAGCTGCACTTTGGGGTTATAACATGTGCAGCTGCAAAGGAAAGAACGACCTATATAATCCCCCACACCACAGCAAAGCTCAACCCCAATGGGCCAAGATACTGAAAAACTCTTGCCTTGGGTCCCAGCAGGACACCCTTCTAGGGACAGGAGTAGTGAGAACTGACCTTTGGACTTCGACTTGATCTTGGAAGAGCAGGGCTTGGTCACAGAGACGATCTCCTCACACTGGGCATTGTACAGGGCTTTCTTCAGGATGCCTGAGCGAGTCTTCAAGCCTGTCTGAGCATTACACCCTCCCCAGCTCTCAAACTTGTACTTGCAGTCAGCTGGATGAGAGGGGAGAGGCATCAGAGCTGGTAAGGACCAGCTGGGCATCAGCCCCCGTCACCCACCCCAGCATGGTCCCCAGCCACCCTACCTCCATGTACCCACCTCCAAATTTCTTCTTCCAGTTGCAGGGGATCTTGCACTTGAGCTTCTTGCTCTCATCTTTGCAAGTTCCCTCGCGGTAGCCCAGGCCACAATCCTTACTGTTGGGAACACAAGGTCCCCAGCGCCAGTCCTCGCACTTAGAGCCATCCTTCTTTGCCTTCTCTGAGAGGAAAAGAGGAGTGGGTGCTCTCTGCAGGGACAGAAGAGCACGCCCCAGGCTCCCCCACCCAACTGGCTCCCTACCCCGGGCTGCCCCCTCACCTTTCTTATTCTTGCCAGCCTCAGTGGTGGCAGCCAGCAGGATCAGTGCCAGGAGGAGGAGGAGGCCCCGAACCTGCATCCTGCCTGGGAAGGAGGGAGAAGGTGAGGTGGGTGGGAGGTTGGGGTGCAATGTGATGCCGAGGAGGGGGCATGGTGGGCTGTGGGCAGCCTGTGTGGGGGTAAGACAGCAGCTGCCTCCGTTGGGCACACCCCTGTGTGTGTGTACACCCCTGTGCCCTGCTCATCGCCACCCGTTTGGGGACCCCCCACACAGCCCCTGGGGAAGCCCTGAAGTTGGGTGCCCGTAGATTCTTTATCCAGCACCCAGCAGGCTGTCCAGGGCCTGGGGGCACAGCTCCTGTAATGCCTTTCTCCAGTTCCAGAGGATGTCAGGGTGAAAAGAAAAAAGCCTGGGAAAAACAAACCTGCTGCCATGCGGGGTCTGAGAGTTAAACCAGTGGATTAAACACCAAAAAAAAGCAGTGTGGGAGCTTGTTGGAGGGATGGAGTTGGAGTACTGAGCCCACTGCTAGTGCCACCTATGCATGCAGGGGAGGTGCACAGGTGGGCATGCACTTGGGAGCATGTTGGGGACAAGGGTGACTCCTGGGACCCTGCCCTCAACCCCCTGCCCTGGTGGCCTTGGAACAGGTGACAACTCCCCTCTGGCCGCCATCATGAGACTCTGTGGGATGCTGCTGCCAACACTGGGATCCCAGCTTGTGCATATGAGCAGAGCTAGCATCTCAAATCTGGCAACCCTTTCCCTGCTCCACCAAAGGCCTTTAGGATGCCACCCATATCTGTGCAGCAGCAGCCAGCCAGAAAATAAATTGCACCTGCCCTGGCTCTACAATGGGCTTGATGTGCTTGGCAGGACTGGGCTATAGAGGACAGGGCCAAGAGGACATCCGTGCAGAGAAGAACCTGGGGTCAGTGTTTGCTCCCTGCCCCCAGGCTCCCCGGGCAGTGTGCCAGAGAGAGCAGCATCCCACATTATTCAGGCTCCAGTGCACTCACCTTTCATGCATCCGCCGCCAAGCTGCCGGCTTCGCTCTGCATTGAACTGTCACAGGGAATTACAGAGACTGGCTGGCTGAGGACACAGTCACAGGGGTGAGATCTGTCTTCCCCCTCACCCAGGCCGGCTGAGAGCCATCCTGCCGAGCACAGCTTGGCTCAGCTCTGTTCCCACCCATCTGCCTTCAAAGGGGACAAGAGCTCAGCCCAGATTGGCTGGTTATAGATGACAAGGCTGGAGCTGAGCTGAGTTACAGACACGGCTGTCCTGCTTTCTGCAGCAGCTCTTATAGGGTAGCACCTCTGACATCTGCACTATTCACAGCATCTCTCTGGTTTCAGGTGCTCTGTAAACTTCTTCCATACTTGGCTGCAGAGCATTTCCCTGTGTGCCTTGCACCTACCTCCCAGCTCAGTGCCTTCTGTTCTGGCCCTTCAGACAAGGCTTCAAGCCCCCAGGGCAGACAGCCCTAGCTGCCACGCTCACCCCTGCCTCTTTTGCAGGTATGGACAGTCTGCTCCCTCTGGGTGTTGTGGGGCCTGCCCACGTGTACACAGGGATGTGAGAAGGGGGGCTCTGAGGGCAGACCAGCTACAGCCACTGGATCTGCTCCCAGGCTCTGCCTAGCACATCACATCTTCCAGGCAAAAGTCTGCAGAGATCTTCAGTCATGGCTCAGCCTAACGCATTCATAAGGGAAAGGGAGCGTAGTTTTCCGACTGGTTTTCTGAACAGCCTGATCCCTTCTGGACACCATACAGGGCCAGGTAGTGCCACTGGCTTCTCCTAATGCAGGCCACACACCCTCCCCAGCTCCTGTCCCCTTGCTACTGCCCCAGTGCACTCCAGGTAGCGTGGCAGCTGCAGGGCTTGCAGTCCCCTTGCAACCCCTCTTCCAGCAGTGGAACCTCTTGGCTCGGCTCAAATTGCAGATGGGTCTGGAAGAGGTGAGCACAGGACTGTGGTCCTACCTCTGTGGGCTGAGCTGCTCTGGGCAGGGAGCCCAGCACTCGGGAAGCCCAGAGCTCGGGGAGCTCGTGGCCTGTAGTGCCAAGCACACAGAAAGCAGGAAGCTGCCTTCTGCCAGGAAAGGAGAGATTGAGCTTCTCCTCGTGAGCCAAGGCCTTAGCATGATCAGGATGTTCTGCCGGAGGTGCTGAGGGGAGCAGCACCTGGGGGTGGTGCGGTGGGGCTTTCCAGCAGGCGGCCTCATCTTCAGCTCACGGGAGGAGAAGGTGCTCCATGGGGAAAAGGTTCTGCCCGTGTACCAGGGGCAGAGAGGGAAGCACCTCTGCTCTTTGCTCTCACACCAGAGTAGATGCTGTGCGTGGCCCCAGCACAGCCCCTTCCCCTCGGTCCCCGGAGAGGCCGGCGGTGGCCGAGCCCCGCTCCGGGGCAGCTCCCCAGGCTCCGGTCGGTGCATCTCTCGCCACCTGAGCTCTCCCCGAGGGAGAGCGGGGTGCTTTCCAAGAGGAGTGGGGCTAAGACACCAAGCCACTGCCTCGACCCATCTGCTCTCCAGGAGCCCTGAGTCCCTCCTAAACTCCATCCTCCTGCATCTCCGGGCTCTTTCCTAGCTCTCGCAGGCGATCCCGCACTCTGGGGTCCGCCGCCCCCGGCACCCCTGCCCCAATCCCCCTTTTCTGCAGCTCCTCATCAGGAACGGCCATGTCCCACACCCCGACAACGCCCCTTCCCCCTGAGGAGAACCCTCAGCCTGGATTACTACCGCCTCGCTTGGGAGGTGAGGGGGAAGTCCCCTCTGGCCTCTCCGGAGGCGCCAATCTCCGCGGCGTCGGGCGGGCGGTGCCGTCGCCCACGGGGGCTTGGGGTGGGGGCCCGACCCCGAGTACTGGGGGTGGGGGGCCACACTCACCTGCGGAGCGGAGCGGAGCGGAGCAGCGCGGTGCGGAGCTGCTGCCTTTGTGTGCCGGCCGCGTGCGGAGCCCCGCGCAGCGCACAGCGGCCCCTGACGTCGGGCTCGGCTGGCAGCAAAAAGGTGGGTTTTTAGCCCAAAACTTTTCGCAGGCTCCTCCTCTGCCGCTCCCCCACCCCCACCCCCCCCCCAGCCCCGGCAGGCAGAAAGGCAGGGAGGCGGAGGGGGCAGGCTGGCCCCTCGGCCGGCGGGGAGGGGGGAACGTGGGCAGGCGGCAGCTCGCTGGTCTGGGGGTGTACTGGGCCAGGGGGAGTCAGGTCCCGCTGGGCACAGCCCCTGGCCCCTGCCCGGTCTCACCTTATCGCAGTGCTCTCCCACTCGCAGCCGCTGCGCGGTACCAGGGAAGCTGTGGGGGTTCAGCTGACCACGCACCCCAATATCACTGAGTGGCCGAAGGGGTGCAGAGCTGAACAGCCAGTCAGGGTCTCTCCTGGGGGCTGCCGCTCTAAGTCATGCTGGAAGGTGGTCCCGGGGCCTCGATGGAGTGAAAGGAACCATACCGTGTCTCTGCCAGCTCTGTAGATACCTCTTTCCCCCTCAAGGCCACTGGCATCGATGGACCGGCCTTTCATGGTCTCTCCCTGCTTGCTCTGCCCCTCGTGGGAGGGCACTGGAGGGGTACTTGCTCAGCACCCAAAGCAGCACATCATTAATGTGCTGGCCCAAGCATCTCTCCAGACCATCCCTTGTGACCTGCCTGCCAGTCCCCAGCTCAGCCATGCTGCAGCCCTTCTCCTTGGACCAAGCTGCGGTATCAGACTGCTGGCGGGGGATGAAAAGGACCTTGCAGACATGACTGCTCCCTCCCCCACATCTGCCCCCTTTTCTTAGGAGGTGAGCTGAGGCAGGGGCCAAGCCAATTCTCCTCTGGAGTTAGCAGTCAGAAAGGCAAGTGTCATGCCAGAAGAACGGGGCCGTGGTGGGGAATGGAGCTGTTTTCCCACCCCTTATCCTAGAAGAAGTCTGCCGAAAGCAGGGCTGGCACAGGTGGGGTTGCAGGGCAGGAGGGGCTGGTTTTTATGAGCTGCTTTGAAACCAGCTCTCTTCTCCAGAGATCAGTGCATTTAACTCACGCCCCACCAGCAGTTTCCTCAACATCTGCAAAGGTTTTGAGGAGGGCTGGCAAATGTGGGAACGTGGAATCTCCCCTGCCCGCTGCGCACACAGCAACAGGTATTACTCTGGGTGGCGAGGGGTCTGGACATTCTGGGCTGTACGTTTGAGCCCAGGATGCAGAAATGGATCCTGATAGCTTGCCAGGTAGCAAGGCCAACAGCCTCCCCCCAAAGTTGGGCCTTTAAACTAAAGCTGAAGGAAGCTGCCAAAACAAACTTCACTAAAAAAGACGGGGAAGGACCTAGGTGTGCATCAGGTTTGCAAGTCTGAGTTATGGGACTGTGATGAACAAACTAGGGCCTGGTAGAACTCAAAGAACTAGGTGAGTCTGGGTCTGGAAGCAGAAGTGTCCCTAATCCTCTGCTTTTGTAATTGGAGAGCAGTCCTCCCACCAGAGCGGCAGAGATAATCCCTGCCCTCAGTGCTCAGTACAGGAGGCAGGACCAGTGGGAAAACAATAGGAAGAGCCCCTGGCAGGTTCTTCTCCCGCAGAGCAGCATGGCTAGGGACAGCTCACCACAAAAAAAGGCCAATAAATGTTTTGAAATCAGAAGCTGGATGCCACTGTAGTACCCACCACCCACCCATAGCTGTGGCCTGCCCAGGGCAGGGAAGCCACTGGGGCTGCTGCTTTTGCCCCAGGGAGCACTAACAGGCTACTAGCTCTTAATTCACAATTCCAAGTCTTTCTGGATCACTTGGGATGGCAGTGCGCTTTCTCCCTGTTCCATGTTACACTGAGTATTGATGTATGACACAGAATGGGGGGGAAGGTCCCTAAGGACAAAGACCCCATATCCAGCAGAGTTGCCGAGGGATGGTGTGCAGGGAAGTGGACAAGGACCTGGGCCCACAGGGAACTCCAAAGAGTACCCCCAAGTTAGGATGGGGGCAGAGGCCTTGAGGTACGACCTTGTTTGAGCTGTGCAAGGCATCACTGGTACACTGCCCACTGCATTCTTGCAGATGCAGCAGGAGATGGGAACTAAAACATCAATCTCTTTTATTTCAATGGCAAGAAACAACAACATCCAAACAGTCAAAACTGAAAAGTGATGGGAACACAGGCTCTTGCCAGGCCCTGGGCCTGCTGGAGCCAGCATCCTCACAGAGTTACAAAAATACAATCCTACAACAGCGTCTAGGAAACACAGACCCAGGTATTGCACAGAACCCCTGCCCTCAGTGAGCAGGGCAACCAACACCCCCTCCGTCTTCACCAAAACACAAGCAGGCTTGGAATTGCACAGCAACTCAGCTCACGCATGCACGGAGGGGCCAGGCGGGGAGGGGGACAGTGTGTCTCTCAACTACCTGTACAAAAACTATAAGGGAGAAAGGGAGAAGCTGGCGCTGTAGATGCCTCTAGGCCAATCTGGGTGTCCCATCTCGGGGAGCAGTAGTGTGGACCTCTGAGAAGATGACAGTGCCTTGTTTGTTAGTGGCCTGCCAGCAGTGCTGATAGGAACTCCGGGCTCTGCTGGAGCATCCCAGCTCTGAACGCATTAAGATGCTAATGTTATTAACTGCCAGTACTGCCAACTGGCCCCTACCACTCTGCACTGCCTTCTGCCTCTGTTCCCCACTACAGTATCCCCCATCCTCAAAGGGAACTCTGCCCCTGGCCAAAAAAACCTGAAGAGTATTCTGATTCTCTGTGGTATAATCACCTTTTTTTGGTATTGGTATTGGGAGAGATTCAAATGGTGCCATCTGGCACTACCCAGTGGGCACAGCTGGGTGTAAGTGCAGAGGGACTGTACAGACCCCACGCGGCAACAGCATTATCCTCTCCCAGGATCCAAGCTGTGAACGGCAACCCACTTCACTGCCCACCTGAAAGGGCCAAGCAGCTTTGCCAGGCTCAGAGCTACCATCTTTCCTCTGTTGGCACCTCCTGGTCTCAGAGAATGTCAGTTCTGTAAAAGCCTGGCTTAAGGGCTGGCTTGATGCCTCCGCATCAAGTGTCCACAGCACCTGCAGGGGAGATGGGTTGTGGTGCCTCGTGCTCCACAGCAGGCCCCCCTGCAGGCGTGACTCAGGGCTGGGAACCCATATGCTTCCCATGTTCCTCATTTTGCTAAAACTGGAGAGGGTGAGCTGGTGGTGCCTTGGCTGGGTGAGCTCTGAAGTTTTCCCTGCAAAGTCCTGTGCCCAGTTTAGGGAATGGCAGGAGTTGGACTCAGAAGATGCATGTTGCCAGGTTGGGGGGGCATGGGGGGGAATCCCTGAGAGCAGCGCTGACCCCAGCACTGCCCCTCCAGCCCCATGCACAGCATTGAAGGGGAAACTGAACCAGGGAGGGCAGCTGAATCCAAGTCAGCATTTGGGAAATACAACAGGCTTCACCACAGGCACTACTCAGGGTCAAGTGCAGCTCTCCACCGTGGCTATGTGCTGCAGTGGGCTCACAGATACCCAGCAGACACTGGGTGAGCAAGCTGTCCCACCCAGCCCCATGGAGGGAAGGATGGTGGGACAGCTTGGTAGCCTTCCCACTCTGTGCCCTCCTCTGTGCCATCCATACCCTGAGCCAGACTGCTGACTGGCTGAGCACTAAAGGCAATCAGGGCACCAGTCGCCCTGTTTTCAGCTGCACCAGTCCCAGGTGCTCTGAGGAAAGGCTGGATGCACAAGCAACTTCTCTCCTGCTGCATAAGGCTCGGGGTAGGGCAATACAGAGACCTAGGGCAGATCCAGGAGCAAGGAAGAGGCAGGGGCAGTAAGTTGTGCTGCTTCCCTTGCAGCAAAGTCTGAGGCTCATGGCCTCTGTCTGCTTGCAGAACCTGTGCCTCCTGCAGCTGTGCCAGACAGGAGAGGAGGAACAGGACATGAACCTAGCCAAGCACCTAAAAGAGGGGCACTGCCAGCAGAGAAAGGTGCTGAGCAACGATATCCCACAAGGATCATAGGCAGGAGCCTGCAGAGGGGGCACTAGCATTACTCCCGTGCACAAGAGTGACTGGGGGCTTCAGCCTGGCTTGCCTCAATATGGTCAGGGAATAGAGCCCATCTAGGGCAGGGAATGTGGTGAATGAGAGGTGAAGGAGTGGACGCACAAAGAATCAGGCTCCAAGTCCGAAATACCCACTGTCCTCATAAACAGAGTCCCAAGCCCAGCCTGGGGCAGAACTCTGCTGTATCCATCTCCAAGGACCAGGCTGACATCTAGGGAGGGTTGGGCCAGACTCATAGCTCTGCCAGTTGGCATTGTCCTCTTGTCCTGCCCAAGCTGGCTTGGGCTAAGGCACGCCAAGCACTACACAGCTGTCTCCTGGTCCTCCCGCTGGATCATCTGGTAGTGCTGTCGGTTCTCGAGGTAGGCGGCTAAGTCAGGGTCATTGGCTTTCTCAGCACGGTGCTTCGGGGTGTCTCCCTGCAGAGGGGAGGCAAGAAGTCAGTGCCAAACACTGCCTAAATACTGCCTTGGCACCCAAAAATGCCCCCATTCCCCCATGCAACTGGGTCCAGCAGAGCCTGCAGCCAAGCCCCAAGGCAGGTGGTAGCCAAATGCCCATGTGCTTGCCGTGGGATGAGAGTGTGGTCCTGAGGAGCCTGACTGCTGCAGGACTGGAAACTGTCCCCTGAAGGGCCATCAGCTCCAGGCATGGCTACAACAGAGGCTGACCCTGGCCATCATCAGCCACCCGAGAGGAGACAAAGGCTGGTCCCCAGGACCTGCTCCTTCCCTACGCTGGGAGGCAGGAGGGAAAGGGTGAGGAATGAGGGGTATGTCAGGGGAATGCCCAGGAATACCAACCCCCCTTCCCTCTCTCAGCCTGGCTAGCGCTCCTGCTCGCTCCTGCTCCCGGAGGAGGATCACATTTCACCAGCTTATTGCAGCCATCTGGACTGTGTCCACTAATGAACTCCCGCACTCCATAAAAAGCAAATCTGTTAACAGTTCCCAGCTCCATCTCTTCTCCCCTTCCCTCCCCTTGCTCCTCCTCACCAAGTGCCCAGGCTCTGCTGTGCCACTGAGAAAGGCCACAGAAACCTGGCACTCTGCCACTGCCATTGAAAACCAAGGCTGGAAGGGACACCCGGCCTGCCCCGCTCACCCCCTGGTGCACAGCAGGGCACGGGCGGCTGCAGGAGGGTGCCTTGGTCCTCCAGAGCAACCCCCAGCCACACTTCTCCATCAGGAACAATGATCAGACATGTGCAACCTCCACTGGGCCTGGACAGAGCTGCCCACAAAAGCCCACCCAAGGCTGCAGAGGTGTCATGCACCAAGAAATCCCCTCTTTTGCATGTGTGCCCCAAGACTGGGCACACCCCGTGGTCCTGCACACATACCCCAGCAGCCACACCATCAGGGGGACAGAGACCACTCCGTGCTTCGGTGCTGGCTCCCCTCAGGGACCTCCTCCCCACAGCCCCTGAATGCAATCGCTCATTTAACAGAGGAGGAATTGAGCTTCTTTCCTGTCCCCCTGCAGAAGCCCCTCTGCAATGCTGCCTGCAGCCTGAAACCAGAGCTGCCAGGGCCTCCCTGCCCGGCTGGGCTCAGGCACGCCAACTGATAAGGCTCAGCCTCCCTCACCACTGCAGGGAGTGGGATCAGCCCACTCTGAACCTGTGCTACAGGTCTCACACTCTCCCACACTGGTTTCTAAAGAGGTGGGTCCTGCCTGTGCAGGCAGGCTGTGACCCAGAGCCCACGCGAGGTCAGTGCAGCGGCACAGAGGGGTCCCCAGATAGCTACAAACCCTGACGTGCACAGGCACGTGCAAGCCCACTCCCTGGGGCAGGCAGCATGCCTGAGTGAGGCTCCCTTTTGTGCTGGCAGGCTGGGGGCTGTTCCCCTCCTTCAGGCAAAGGAGGGGGCTGGGGACAGAGAGGGGCTGTGCCCTCAGATCTGCTCTCTCCTCGTGCCTCTGCCAGCCAAGTCTCCATCTAGGCCAGCCCCACTATGGGTGCTGTGCAAAGCCTAAGCCTTAGGATCAAGGAAGAGAGATGGGGAGCCAAAGATTGTCTGTACAGCATCTCCCTGGCAACTGGCAAACTGGGATTGTCTAAATTTGCCCCCCACACTCCACTAGCTCCAGCAAGTTTGTACCCCTCATCTGGACTCCAAACCTGTGCCCCAAACCTGTCCAGATTGGACCTTCTTGACTTGTTCTACATCTCCTCTATTACAGCCCATCACTATAAGCCTCCACCAGACAGATCTGACCACATTCTCTCTACTGTATGCCAGTCCTGGGAATCTCCTGTACCAAAATATGGCCTGGAGCCCTCCCCTTCTGGGACATCTCTGCCAGGGCTGGCAAAATTCCCTGATGCCAAGGCACAGCTCAATTAACACAGCATGTAAGGGAAAGTGCTGTCACTGCCTGCCTGCTCCCCACAGGCCAGCTTCACCCGCTGAGAGGAGCTCCCAGTTCCCCCATCGTGACTGCCTGTGGGGGAGAGTGGGGGGAGTCCTGCAGCTGGGAGAGAGCTTGCAGGGAGAATGTCCTTGCTCTGACCCCGGAGGGTGGGAAGGGGGAGACAGGGATGAGACATTCCAGCCCCTCGCTTCTAATTTAATAAAACAACAGGGAGAGAAGTGCAGGGAGGAGAGGGATTTAACCCCTCTGTAGCTGGACTCTGCTGGGCAAGCATTTGTGCTCCATGTCAGGTCGTCTCTGGCTGGAAAACACCCACCCAAAGCACCCTTGCTCTGCTCTCCTGCCAGCCCTGCTCCTGCCAGCCCTCTGGTGACCCCAGAAAGCCCCACTGCCACCCCCCCACTGTCACCTGCAGGTCTGTCTTCATGAGCGAAGCCCCGGCCTCCACGATGTAGTGGCAGATAGTGCGCTGCCGTAAGGCTGCAGCCTGGTGCAAGCTGGTTTCACCGCTGGGGAGGAGAAAGCAGGAGATGTGAGATGTCCCCCCAAATGGGGACAAGCAGCACATGCGGGTGGCAGCGAGGAACAGCAATTCAGTGGCAGCAGAAGCTTATGGTGGGTTATGTGCTTGTCCAGGAAGCCCTGGCAGAAGAGGGGGTGATACACAGGGCCAGTCAGTCCAAAATGGACTGGGAATCATGGCTGGTAATTAGAGCATGGGCAGCTGAAGTGCCCAAATGACCGGTCACCTCACAGAGGGTCTGGCCAACAGGTAACACAAGTCGGTCAGCAACTTACTTCTCCTCCTCCGTGGCATCAAGGATTTCTGAAGGGGCTGTGGAAAGAAAGAGTGCAGGGCAAGTGAGACCCTCTGCAGGGCAAGAGACAGACCCACCTACTCCCTAGTCACATTCTGCATTGTTCCATAGGGGCTGTTATTTTCATGTTGCCTGACAAAAGTCTCAGCTTCAATGCACTCAAGTCAGCAACAGCATCTGAGTCCAGCTGAGCACAGGGAAGAAGTATTGGTTGTGGACTCATTACAGAGAAATATCTAAATAAAGCAGCCTGTATTTCAGTGGGAGCTGAAAAGATTGGGAGCTGCCAAAAACAACAGATCAGCTGACCTGATGGCAGAACCAGGACACTGAGAAATGTTTCTCAGAGACATGCTGGGCCCTGCTAGGATGCAGCAACAGCCGTGGGGACACCCCAGTACTGGCAAACAGATGCCAGAAGGATGATGTAGCAAACCCAGAGGAAAGGGATTTAAGACCAGGAGCACTCCCTCTGAGCAGAGGGTTGGGCTTTTTTGGCTGCCAGGCTCCTTTGCTAAGGGTGGCACTCTTGGCCCCAACTCACCGTTCTCGATGATGTATCTGACGATGTCCTTGCTCCCTGATTTGACGGCATGGTGGAGGACAGTCTGGCCTGAGGAATCTCGCACCATCAGGTCTCTTCCAGCTCGATGCAGCTCTTGGAACTACAAAATTCCCAGATTGCTCAGGATGAGTTGCCTTTCCCAGCTCCAAGACCCAAGCCCTGGCACTGTGTCCCTGAAGTGCCTGATAGGTTGTGTGGATATTCGGGGCTGGTGGGGAGCTGTGACCAGCTCAGCAATGCTGCCAAGTCCCTTCCCTATGTGTCCCCCAAGAAAAGGAACACAGCTTCTTGCCAGAAGCCTGTCTGTTTTCCAGTCACCACTCCTGAAGGAAGGCCCTTGTCAGGAGCTGCTCCAGGGCAACTGAAGAGCATGACTGGCAGGGCTTCCCTTAGCCTGAGGGGCATGCCAGCTGAGAAGGCTGCAGGGAGATTGCCCAGAGCCAGCCCCGGCTGCTCATCAAAGCAGGCTGTAGGAGCACCTACCTTGCTGAAGTTGCCACCCTTGGCAGCTTCTATTAGATCATCTGCAAAGAATGGAGATGTGTCAGGGTCAGAAAAGTCAAGCTGTAACACCATTTATCTAATGCTGGAGACAAGGGTTGGGCATCAGAGGTGTGGAACAATCTGCTGAGGGTACAGCACAAGATCCTCCAGGTGCTAATCCCTTGTTCAGACAGGATTTACATGGCTCCTCCACCTTCAGGAATGTAAGGGACAAGTCACGGGAGAGAAGGAGAGATCACATAACTGGGAGTGCAGCAAGACCTCAGCCCCTGTGAGATGTGTGTGCAGGGGGAGTAGTCTCTGCCCATGGGCAGGATAACTTGTGATGGAAGTGAGGAGCAGATCTCCTGGGCATCAGCCTGCGGCCAAGATACTCCTCACCAATCACTCACTCACACTTCCAGGCTCTGATCAAACTTCAGGAAACTCTTTTCATTTGCTCAGCTTGGTGAGGCCCCTGTCCTGGTGTTCCCACCTCTCCAGCTGCCCAGTGGAGACAGCCTCCCAACCCAGCCTAGAGAGCTCAGCTCTGCAGGTGGGATATTAACCCCTTGCAATATCATTTCCCACACAGTGGAACCGGGAAGGTGCATGGCTGAGCCACTCCACTAATCTCTGTCAGGTGTCTCCTGCCCACCTCTGGGGTCATCTGCCCACAGGGCTCCCTGTTCCCACTAGCACATGGGCAGCAGGGCTCCTACCTGCTCACCAGGGAAAGAATAAGCCAAAAAAATATGGCAGGAAAACAAAAAAGCATGGCCTGAGAGGGTGTGATAGGGACTGGGACACAACTCACCTCTGTGTGGGAGGCAGCGCTCAGGCTCAGCACTGGAAGGGAAGAAGAAAAGGTGTAACTAACTCTGCCAGTCCTGGCAGCAGATCACCCAGAAGTACACAATGTGGGTAGAAGGATGGCTGTGGAGAAACCTGCCTGTGGCACTCCTTCAGCAGGCAGGAGAGGCAGACAGAGACTGCTCTTTGGCCATGCCACCTACTTCTTCCCTGATCTGGGTTCTTCCCCATCCCCACTCCCATTTCTACTGCTGTCCCTATAGCTCCAATGCTGTTCCATATCTGAGGCTGGCCTTAGCTGGACTGAGAGACACCCATGTCTTTTGCCCCATGGGCCAGGTGCTGGAGCTTTACCTCATGCCTGAGCCACCCAGTGATGCTCCACTGCTTATAGCACCACTGGCAGAGGAACAAGGAAGACAGGATGGCATCTGACCCCTTGGTTTAACTCAGCACTGAATTCCTGCTCATTTCCAGGAAGCCCCTCTGTAATCTGGCCCAGGGATCAATGCTGTGAAGCCAAACCCTGCTTCTCTCATCACTGCCCATCCTTCCTGAGGTACACCACTCCAGACTCACCTGGGGGCAGGAGAAGAGGGTGGAGAGGAAGAAGAGGAGGGGAATGCAAAGTGGTGCCCAGGGGGTGTGGCAGATGAGTCCACGAGGTCGGGCATGGCAGGAGAGGTGCTCACAGTCTGGGTGATCACTAGCTCTGGGTCCAGCACATAGAGCTCGTCCTGAGAGATCTCTGTCACGTAGTTGAGGTGCTCCTGAAAGACACAAGTCAGGCCCCCTCAGCTCCATCCCCTCACATCCCGTGCCTTGCAGCCCACCCACTTGCTCAGCAAAGTGGTGGCTTGAAGAGCCCTGGGAACCTTCACATCTCCTTCGTCCTTTTCAGGCTTCCTATTGCCTTGCCAGCTTACCAACACTGTAAACCTCATCTCCATGTCCTCTTCTCCAGATCACTGGGGAAAGCATCTATTGTTGGTGAAGATGACCCAAGTCACTGAGTTCCCTGGCCAGTCTTGCTATGTTTGCTATTCCTTACCTGCTCCACTGTAGTGCTCTGTGGGCAGCTTTCAAGCCAAGGCTGTGCTACCAGCCACACTTTCTCCCTTTTCCCCAGGAACCTGGAGGTGCTGGGGCTGGTCCTGAACCAGGCTTGTCATGCCATCCCTTGGGGGATGCCACAGGGCAGGGCAGCAGTGTGAGACCCGTGTGACCCCAAGGCTCTGCCTGCCTGTTGGTCTGCACGAAGGTGGGACACCCAAACACCTTTTCAGCAGATGCCAGGGGGATAATGGTGGAGGATGAGGCTGCACTCACCTGAGCACGGTCTATCCTGTAGAACCGATTGGCTGTGGTTGCTGTAAGACAGGGACAGAATGAGACAGGGTGATTCTTGGTGTGAGACAAAGGAGACAGCCACTTTCCACCACCGAGTGACAGTGAGCTATCCAGCCACTTCATGGCTTGCAGAGAGGGTACAGCAAAGCAAACAGCACCCCCTGACCAGGAGTGAACAACTTTCCTTTGTGACTCTGCTGCTTTCTTCCCCCGGGAGACAGCTCTTTGGGCCTCTGTGACCATCATGCCCCTATGAAACATGCCTTTGCTTGCTATCTCCCCCTTAATGACTCCTGGCAGGGAGCCACAGGGAAGGCAATAACACATCTGGCTGATGCCATGGCCTTTCTGGTGGCTTTTAAGTGCCCCACCATCATCCTAAGCAGATGAAGCTCAGGGCTGTGCAGTGCACATCTCAGCATTCACTTACAACAGGTGAGGAACTGCTCTGATTAACATGATGCACCTTGTCACACAGTGCTCAGAAGTGAGGGCACTCCATGGGACTGGGAGAAGGGGGAGCTCAGCCTTCTGCTGACTTGACTAAGGTCCCACAGACCTCCACGAGGCCACATCAGAGCATGCGACTGCAGGCACAACAGAGCATGCCACCACCAGCTGTAGATCCGAGACCCTGTCTCCTAGGATGGCAGGAGAGCTTCCAACCAGCCTCCAGCCTGTCTGAGCGCAGCCCTCTTCCTTAGAGAAGAGATCACCACAGGGGAGAGGAGGTCCTACAGAGCAAGTGGCTATGCTAGAGCCAGACATACACAGCTGAGGGAGCAGGGAGGTGCTGGGGACTTTGGACATCACCAAGGGAGAGCAGGACAGGTAAGAGCACAGTGCCAAGACAATTGGGTTCCCATGCAGAGCAGAAGGCATTGTCCTGCCAGGCTGCTAGTGCCAATCCAGGAGAGGTTGCTGCCATGGGACCCTTGGGGACCCAGGGAAGTTTCTCTGCAAACAGTCGGGATGTGCCAGAGCAGATAAGAGAAGTGAAAGAGCCCATTTATCCAGTCCTGGTTGGAGATTTACAGCCAGGGAGCTACTGTTCAAGGCCTATAATTCAGCCACTTGAATTAGCCTGTGCTGTGTTGAATGGGGCTCTGACCTCTGACACATTTTCCCAAGCTCAAGACCTACTGCTGGGAGACTGGTAGGAGAAGGGAAAGTGGCCCTGGTACAGCAGTCCTGGTAGTGACACTGGGAAGCAGCAGCACCAGCAACCCCACACGCAGGGCTGGAACCTCAAAGCGAGAAATTGCATCCTCTCTGCCTAGTACTGCCAGGCCCACCTTGCAACCCATGGCTGTGCTCTGCTGTGCTCTACACCTTGCTGCTGGGAAGTCAGGGAGATGAAGTGCCACCAGTGGACATTTCTCTCAGCCAGCTTCCAGGTACAGAGGGAGCCTCTTGGTCAGTGAAGGCAAAGGGAGAGGAGAAAGCTACTTTCTGGCAGGGGGGAAGAAGCAGCCAGAGCTCAGCCGGGAGCCTGCTCCCCTACAGCACTGGGATGCTGATGGTGAGCCTGGCTCTCAGCATGCGGAGCAGGGGGGCCCCCTGCCTGCATGACACAGGAGAGCAGCTTCAGCAGTCCCGGTGTGACAAACACAGGCTGCCAAGCTGCCTTCAGGTCCAGGGGAAGGAGACCAGCAGACACCCTTTGCTTCACTCCTGGTCAGCAGCCAGAGACATGGCCTGGGGCACAGCTCTGCTGTGCTCGACCCCAACATCCATAAGTTCCAAGTGTCACATAGCTACCTGTGGCTTGTCACTGAGTATCTGTCCTCTCATCCCCCAGATTCACAGAATCATCAAATCCTTTAGGTTGGAAGAGACCCTAAAGATCATTGAGTCCCACTGTTAAACCAACACTGGCAAGTCCACCACTAAACCATGTCCATAAGTGCCATATTTACACATCTGTTCCAATGTTTGACCACCCTTTCAGTGAAAAAATTCCTCCTAATATCCAATCTAAACCTCCCCTGGCACAACTTGAGGCCCTTTCCTTTTACCCTGTCACTTGTTACTTGGGAGAAGAGGCCGAACCTCAACTGGCTACAACCTCCTTTTGGGTAGCTGAAGAGAGAGATAAGCCTTAGCCTCCTTTTCTCCAGGCTAAACAACCCCAGCTCCCTCAGCCATTCCTCCTGTGGCTTGTGCTCCAGGACCTCCACAAGCTCCATTGCCCATCTCTGGACATGCTCCAGCATCTGAATGTTCTTCTTGCAGCAAGGGACCTAAAACTGAACACAGGATTCGATGCGTGTCCTCACAGTGCCAAGTACAGGGGGACAATCCCAGCCCAAGTCCTGCTGGCCACACTATTTCTGACACAAGACAGGATGCCATTGGCCTTCTTGGCACCTGGGCACAATGCTGGCCCATGTTCAGCTAACTGTTGAACAGCACCCCTAGATCCTTTTGGCCAGGCACTTTTCCAGCCACTCTTCTCCCAGTCCGTAGTGCTGCCTGGGGTTGTTGTGACCCAAAGGCAGAACCCGGCACTTTGCCTTGTAGAACCTCATACCGCTGGCCTCAATCCATCAATCCAGCCTGTCCAGATCTCTCTGCAGAGACTTCCTATTCTCCAGAAAATCAACATTCCTGCCCACCTTGGGGTTGTCTGCAAACTGACTGAGGGGGCACTCGATTCCCTTGCTCAAATCACTGATAAAGATAATAAACAGGACTGGCCCCACTACTGAGCCCCAGGGAATGCCACTAGTGACTGGCCACCAGCTAGGTTTAACTCCATTCACCATCACTCTCTGAGCCTGGCCATCTGGCCAGTTTTCTACCCAGCGAACAGTGCAGCTGTCCAAGCCATGAGCAGCCAGTTTGCCCAGGAGAATACTGTGGGAAACGGTGTCAAAGGCTTTACTGAAGTCTAGGTAGACAACATCCACAGCCTTTCCCTCTTCCACTAAGCAGGTCAACTTGACAAAGGAAGAGATCAGGTTAGCCAAGCAGGGCTTGCCTTTCACAAACCCATGTTGGCTGGGTCTGATCCCCTGGTTGTTCTGCCTGTGTCTCATGATGACCTGGATGACTCAGGATGACCTGTTCCATGACTTTTCGTGGCATGAAAAAGGTCTGTTGGGCTGACAGGCCCGTATTTCCCCAGATTCTCCTTCTGGCCCTTCTTATAGATGGGTATCATATTTGCTAACCTTCAGTCAACTGAGACCTTGTTAGCCAGGACTGCTGGTAATTGATTGAAAGTGGCTCAGTGAGCACTTCTGCAGCTCTCTCAGTACCCCTGCGTGGACCCATCCAGTCCCACAGACTCATGTTTGTCTAAATGGTGTAGCAGATCACTAACCATTTCCCCTTGGATTATAGGGGTTTCGTTCTGGTCCCTGTTTCTGTCTTCCAGCTCAGGGGGCTGGGTATCCTGAGAACAACTGGCCTTACTAATAAAGACTGAGGCAAAGCAGGCATTTAGTACCTGAGCCTTTTCCTCATCCTTTATCACTACGTATCTCCCTTCATCCAAAAAAGGATGGAGATTATCCTTAGCCCTCCTTTTGTTGCTGATGTATTTGTAAAAACATTTTTTCGTTGTCTTTCATGGCAGTAGCCGAATTAATTAAGTTCTGACTGGGCTTTGGTCTTTCTAATTTTCTCCCTGCATAAACTCATGACATCCTTGTAATCCTCCAGAGTTGTCTGCCCCCCTTCCCTTCTTTTGAGTTCCAACCAAAGCTCTGCCTTCAGTCAGCTTGGTCTTTGCCCCTGCCAGCTCATACCTTGGTATATGGGGATGTACTGCTACTGAGCCTCTAGAATTTCTTTCTTAAAGCATGTTCAGCCTTCCTTGACTCCTTTGCCCCTTTAGGACTGACTCCCAAGAGACTCCATCAACAGTCTCCTAAACAGGCCAAAATCTGCCCTACAGAAGTCCAAGATGGCAGTTCTGCTGGCACTCCTCCTTACTTCGCCAGAAATCAAAAACTACCATTTCGGGATCATGATGCCCAAGGTGGCTTCCAACTGTCACAGAACCCGCTAGTCCTTTCCTGTTCACAAACAGCAAGTCCAGCAGGCCATCTTCTCTAGTTGGGAAGGTACGTCAAGAAGCTGCCTTGCACACACGCAGAAAACTTCCTAGACTGCTTTATCTCTGCTGTGTTATACTTCCAGCAATCACACGGTAAGTTGAAGTCTCCCACAAGAACGAGGGCTCGTGATGGTGAGACTTCTCCCAGATGCTTACAAAATACTTCATCTGTCTCTTTATCCTGGCTGGAGTCTATAACAGATTCCCACCAGGATATCTGCCCTGTTGGTCTTTCCTTTGGTTTTTATCCATAAATACTTAACCCTACTGTCACCATCATTAAGCTCTAGACAACTGAAACACGCCCTAACATGCAGGGCTACCCCACTGCCTCTCCTTCCTTGCCTGTGTCTTCTGAAGAGTCTATAGCCATCCATTGCAGCCTGGTTGTGTGACTTGTCCCACCATGTCTCTGTGATGGCAACTACGGCAGTTTCCTGCTGCACCATGTCTTTTCAGTTCCTCCTGTTTGTTGCCCGTGCTGCATGCACTGGTGGAGATGCACTTCAGTTGGGCTACCGATTCCACTACCTTTTCCACCACCCTAATTCCTACACCCTAATTCTCAGGTGCCTCTGTGGTTTCTAACCCACCAATAACCTTTGCATCTTTGCTGCCACATGGATCTCTCTCCTCTACCTCCACTGAGATGGCAGACCAAAGGACCTTGCTAGCACATCATCAGGGAAGGATGATACTCACAGTCCAGGAAGCACCACTTGGGTGAAAGCTTCTGGAATGACAGTGTCTTCGGCTTGGCTCCATCTCCCTCCTGCATAAAAAAAGAGAGGACAAAGTTGTATCTTTTCGCCTCCCCATTTCTCTTCAGAGCATCCCCCCTGCTTTGGGAGGTTCCTGCAGACACAGAAGACCACAGGCGCTTGGATGTAAAGGAGAACTTGAACACAGGCACAGCACAGAGCGATGGGGAGCAGCACGGGACAGACTGGAGCCAATGCACACCAGCCCACTGTAGAGAGGTGTCACAAGACGAGCCCATGAGACTGGCACAGTGGACATAACAGATGGGCCCAGTGGATAGAGCGAGGCCATACACACCTGAAGGAGCAGGCGCTCTAAAGTGCAGGGCTGTGGAGGGAAATCCTGCAGAAAGGCAAGGTGTGCTGTTACAGCCTGTGTCTGGGCGGCCCCCCAGCCCCTCTCTCATCCCATTGGAATTGCTTAATGTGCTGACATATCTGGCTTTACACACTACCTGGCCAATGTCCCTGGTCTCTGCCTGGCTTTAAGGTCAGAGCACAGTGGATGTCCAAGGAGAGAGAAGAGGCAAACTGTGAGGTGACCAAAGAACACCACCCTCAGTGCACAGTTTTAGAGATGGAGGAGTTTGCAGAGGCATCAGTCTACCATGTTGACACTATAGGAAAGTGTTACCCTCCGAGCCCAGGAGCCAAGTGACTGCCTGTGTGCCCTCATTAGTGCCTGAGCACAAGGTGGGCAGGGGACGGACATGCAGAGCAGGCAGAGCAAGAGGCAGATGACAGTGTGCCAGCCCAGGCAAGCAGCTCCGCAACTCAGTTCTTCAGGACACTATGCCCACGCTGGATAGGATTCCTTCAGGCACAAGATTCAGCTAACTGGGGACTGAGCAATGTCACTTCAGTCTTCTGGGTGAGAATCAGACTGAGCAGTGCAGCATCAGAAGCCACACTATGGCCTCAGAAGGCACTGCCCACCAGGAGCAAGAGTTACACAGTCTGTGTACAGGTCATGGACACGTGCTAGTACATTGGTAAGAGCACAAGCTAGTACTTGCAAATGAAAAGAGTTGGAGGAGTTATAAACCTAATCCAGGCACCTGGAGAGGGCAGAGCTGTGCCAGGAAACACAGAACTTGCAGAGGGTTGAAGGGTGAAAGGCCCCGAAGGATGGGTGTCTTTTTCCACTGCTCTATAAATTTTCTGTGTCACTGGCACTCTGGGCTTGGAGAACACAGTCAGAAGAGCAGTGTTGAGAAAGAAGTTGCCAAACAGCAGGGAGCTACAAGTCATCCAGTTTGGGATCCTGCCTCCACCACATGGTAAAGGCAAACTACGACCTGAAGCAAGAGCGTGTGTGTTGGTGCATGAAAGTCAAGGAAGCTTAAAAATCCTTTCCCTGAACCTCTCCATTCTCGGCATCCAGCCACAACCACTTCCCACACAGAGACTAACCTCCTGCAGCTTCTCGATTTGGGTCCGGCACAACTCCAGGTCACTGTCTCCTGGAACCACGATGATTCCCAGTGGCACAGCTGCATGACAGGGCACAGACACAACTCAGGGAGCAGCCCATGCTCCATCACCAACACAATTTAACAATAGGCTTTGCCAGACTCGGGTACTGAAGCTCCCACCCCTTGGTCACTCACAGGCTTCCTTGAGCTTTTCCTTGTCATAGTTCAGTGCCTCATAGTCACGCATGCTGATTCGGCTCACCCGGATCCGCAGTCGCTCGGGCACTGGCTGCTGGCTGTGTGCAGGGAGGAAGGAAGACGGAAGAGGATCGAAAGGTGTCAAACCACTCTCTTCCTTATCTTCCCCATCCCTCCAAAACAAGCAAGAGCACAGTGTTCTACAGACTGGGTGGGGAGTTTGGCCCCAGCAGCTTCTCCACCACCAGGGTCTGGCCATATTTCTGTGACTTGATCCCTTCCCAGACCCTCTATGAAAAAGAGGATTGAAATGCCTCCATGAGTCATGGATAAGCCCATCCCTTCCCCCTCCAACCCTTCTTCCTTGGAGAGAAGGCAGCAGATAGATCTGAGGAACCTACTCATTGAGCAGAGGCATGGAGTTGCGCCGCTTGGTCTTCTGCACCATGTTTGCTTGGTTGCGCAGGGAGATGTGGATACAGGAAGCTGCCAGCTTGCAGGGTTCTCCATCCACCTGCATGGGGATGGCCTTGGACGTGGTGAGAACCACCTGCCGGCATTGACAGAGCCGCTCCCCGTGGCCACCGACCTGCAAGGCAGCCTGTGAAAGGGTCCAGTGTGAGAGTAGAGCACGGACTGAGGGGTGGATGAGGGGAGCACCCACAGGCAGCTAGATGTTGCAAGTGAACCAAGTTCTGAGGGTCTCAGGTCTGATTTCAGTGAGAAGAGACCCAAAGAGGCCAGGGCATGACAGCACCTCACCTAAATCTCAGAGAGCAGACACTATCATACAGGTCAGCACCACAGCTTCTCTAGAGAGGATCTGTGGAGCTGGCTGACACCTGGTCAATGGGACCAGTCACTCCCTTAGTTGCTAGCTACAACTGGCAAAAGCACTGACTTACCAGGGATGTCATGGTGAAGCCAATAACTTCAATGCAACCATCATCATGGCGCTGAGGCTCGAAGTCGTGGTGCTCCCCAGGGTTGCCCCAGGGCATGGTGCCTGCACAGTACCTGTGAAAAGATGGTAAGAGATGCATGGACATGCATCCCAAACCCAGGCAGGGATCTGCGGCACATGGGTGAGAAGCCCAGCGTATGAAGACAGGTCCTGGGACTGCTCACCTTGGGATATTCAGGAAGACCAGGCACTGGGGCTTCAAATCCTGAATCTTGGAGGTCAGGTCTGTCCCATCACACTGGAGACAATACAGGGGTGTTCAGGCTGCTTTAAGGGGGAGCCTGGTCCACCCTACCCACTTTGGAAGAAATGGCCTCCCTCCTCTGCTTCCTACAGTGACTGTCCTCCTAGTCAGGGGAAGCTGATGTCCCAGGAACATATCCACTCCCCAACACCGAGATACTCAGTGTGCCAAGGGACCACTCCTCACACCTCCTCAGCTCACCCCTTCACTGCACCAGAGCACCCCAGCATACTCACAACAAGCCTGACGTGCTTTGCCAAGTCTTTGGAGCTCCCAGTGAGGAAGTCAGAGAAGGCCGTCTGCCAAGGTAAGAGACAGTGTTAGTGTCCAGATGTTCACCGAAACGGGCAGCCAGGAAGCCTGTCACTGACCTGCAGACCTCAGCTGCTGAAAACCACAAATCCCCTCTTCGTGCACTGGCAAAAGCCTCTCCTCCTCCCATCCCAAAATGATCTGATCCATTCCACTTGCTATGTTGCCTACCATAAACCCTGGGGCACCTTCAGTAACATGCCTCGGTGTTCCCTTGCCAGCCCAGTCCTCACTTCAGGGAAGAGCTGGCAAGGTGGGTCTCTGCCAGTGAAAGGCTCAAGTTCCAAGAGAAAAATTCATTCTCAGGCTGTAATGAAGCACCACAAAGCAGAGCTGATGTGACACCATCTAGGGATACCAGGAGTGACAGTATGGGTCCCCTTTGGGTTTAACTGTACAGACAGGAAGAGACACAAGCAGGACAGATGTGAGATGGCACAGAGCAGCATTTGGTCTTTAGTATGCTCAAGTACCAGCCACTCAGACACCTGGGTAGAAGGTATATTGAGGATGGGGAGACAGAGGAATAAAGGCAATGCTGAGATGCAGTCTAGAGGTGAGATACAGGAAGGCGGTGTAATTAGACAGGGAGTTGTAACTGACCCAAGATATAAAATAAAAGAACAAAGTAGTGTGGGGACTCTATGGAAAGGCTTCCTGTTCCTCTGCAGGGGAGACAGCCTGCCTCCCCACAGCTCCGGGGAGGTGCTGCCTGGGTGACCATCCATGAGCCAGAGAACAAGAACAATAGTGGCAGGAGATCAAGACAGCAACTGTACTGCAGGCCATGGAGCAAGCTGTACTGCCAGCAGCACTCGCAGCCAAAGAGGAGCTGTGACTCCCAGCACTGCAGCCTTCCTCCAGCAATTCTCCAGCTTCAGGGTGGGGGGCTCAGCTTGGCTGAAGGTCCATATAACTTGGTCCATGTAAAGTGAGTTTAGGGGGCAGACAGGAGGCAGGTCCACGCCTGTGCTCCAGACATTAAGGCTGCTATGAAGGCATGCTCAGATAACCTCCACACACTCACCCCAGCATAGAACATTTTATTCCGAAACCGGCTGTTGAACTTCTCTGGGTTGGCCTCTAGGGAAAGGAGAAAAAAGTTCAGGTCGTTGGCCTGCATATGGAAATATTTCACTTGCTAGCTCTCCTCAGACATAGCTCTCCAGCCAGCCTCAGCCAGGAGTCAGACCCCAGCTCTCTTCCTGAGCAGGCAACCCCTCTTTCCGCTCTGCAGCCTCAACTTGCACCTCACGTTTAATGTTCAGGCCTGTCTCTGGGGAAATCCTCTTGTTCACTTTCCTGAGGAACCCAAAAACAAGAACTGGTCCATCCCACAAACACTGCCCAAGCCCTGCCACTGCCCTGTACCTCGGGATTCGTGAAACTCCAGCGTCACCCGTGCGTCAAAGCCAAGGCTGAAGTAGTTGTTAAAGACATCCAAAGGGAGCTGAAATGGAAAGGAGGAATAAGGATGAGACTGCCAGTGTGGGGCCATGGCAAAGATGAGGTCAGGTTACAGCAGAGCCACCTACAGGGCTCATGAGGCTGAGGGAGCCTGCTTGCCCTCTCCCCAGGAAAATACAGAGGATGATGGATTGATCCCTGGCTCCTAGGCCCAAAGGAACACACACTGCTGTCTGAGATATCTGCAAATACCCATGTTTCTGCTGAAGAAACAGTCTCAGAGGGAACGGGGTTTATACCTGTTACAAGCTGTGATCAAAAACCTCTGGTGGACACTTATTTCTGAACTCTATGTGCCTTGCCATGAGCTCTGTGACTCACAGCCATGACGAGAGCAATGAAATTGCAGGAGGGAGAGAGAAACACCAACCCAACACTGTAGCCCCAGGTGCTAGGGCTGCCTGAGCCAGTGGGAGAAAGGAGAGTGCAGACCCCCAGCACAGGAACAAACATGGAGAGGAGGTATCCCACCTTGTCAGTGGCTGCTTCATCCTTTTCCTCAGGGTTCATGTCAGGGTTTGGCTCCACATGGAGGTTCCAGCGATCGAGCTGCACTATGTTCCCATCTTCTACGTGAGACAGGATCTTAGACAGAGGCTCATCCGTGTAACCCTGGTGAAGAGAAGGACTTGGTGAGTCTCATGCCTGCCTGCCACAGAGACGCCCCAGAGACAGCAGGCTTTGGTAAGACATCCCAGAGCATAAGAGGTAGAAGAGATCAACTCTGCTTGAATGCACAACAAAGTGGAACTTTAAATTTAAAACAATGTATCTTCCTTCTAAAAATCTCCTGAAGTTTGAAATAGTGATTGTTTTTTTTAACATCCTACTAGATTATTATCTAATGCGGAACAGTTTAAATGTTAGAAGAATGGTAAAATCCAAATGGCACTTATTGTTGATTTGTTTTTATGGGAAGTCAGGAAGGATATTGAGGTGCTGGAGCAGGTCCAGAGAAGAGCAACCAGGCTGGTGAAAGGACTTGAACACAAGTCCTATGAGGAGAGGCTGAGGGATCTGGGTTTTTTTAGCCTGGAGAAGGGGAGGCTCAGGGGAGACTTCATCACTCTCTACAACTACCTGGAAGGAAGTTGTAGCCAGGTGGGGGTTGGTCTCTTCTCCCAGGCAACTATCAGTAAAACAAGAGGGCATGGTCTTAAGCTCTACCAAGGAAGGTTTAGGTTGGATATTAGGAAGAAATTCTTTACAGAGAGGGCAATCAGGCATTGGAATGGGCTGTCCAGGGAAGTGGTGGATTCTCCATCCCTGGAGGTTTTTAAGATGAGACTGGACGTGGCACTTAGTGCCACAGTTTAGTAACTGTGGTGGTAGTGGATCAAGGGTTGGACTTGATGATCTCAGAGGTCCTTTTCAACTTGGCTGATTCTATGATTCAAAACACTAGCCCATGCAAACTCCCACCCATGTGTCTGGAAGAGGAGTTGAAGTGCTCAGCCCTTCTCTGTCAGCAGTGGGCTCTTGTGCCTGTCACTTACCCCACCCCAGTTCAGTGTTCTGGCCAAGTCATTCCCTGTTCCCAAAGGTAGGATGGCCACAGGAGGAGGTGGGTTGATGCGTAACTGGTCCAGAATGGAGAGTATCCAGCCCACCTGCTCAAGCAAGAAAGTGCAAAGAAGCAGTTATTTCAGGGACCAGCAGGCAGGCAGAGATGGCTCGGAGCACCAGCAATGGCAGAGATGGGGTCCCCTTAGTCACCACCAAGGCTATTTGCAGTGCTTATTGCTCCAAACAGGTGCTGTAGGAGATAGTAATAACCCTAGTGAAGACACTGGCCCCCAAAGCAGACTCCCTGAAGCAGTGCACGAGGGCACCCACAGTGTCCAGTGTCACAGTGCAGTTTGCCCCTTTCTGGATTACAACAAGGAAGGGCTGCTTCCTGCACTGGAAAGGCATGGGGCCAAGGGCACCACAGGCACCAAGGGGCTGGGGGACTCACCGTGCCATCTCCCCCACACGCCAGGATCCGGAGGTTGTGGACTTTGCGGTACAGCTCCAGCCTGCAGGGAACACGGACATTAAGGCGGGGAGGGAAGAAGTACTGAAGGTGTTATGTAGCAGCTGCCTCACAGAGCCCTTGGCATTCACCAAGTGTCTCCCTTCCCATTGCCACACCTGTTCTCAACAGTGGGCAAAGCCACAGTAACTTTGGCTTCACCAGCTCTCGCGTAGGAAGAGTGGGGTGTCCACAGGCTGCGCACACAGAGAGAACCCAAGCAAGCAGACAAGACTCACACAGTGTTAAATATAAGGAACTATGTCTGGGAACCTCACCCCACAGATGGTCTCTTTGCCACTAGCCTTAAGATTGGACCAGCCCTCCAGCACGAATCACTGACTGACGAAAGCTATTCTAAAGAGGCCTCTCAAAATATTGGAGGTCTCTTTGCAGATGGGAGCTATGGAGCATCAAGCAATCTCTGGGGCAGGGATGGGGGAGAAAAAGGTGCTGCCCCCATCAGTACTCACGCCTCCTTGGGTCCACCCTGGCTCAGGTCAAAAACTTGCCGTGGATTGAGATACCACATGAAGGACTGGATGATCTTGGCTCCCTGTGGGGAGAAAAAAGACACCAGGTAACAGGGAGTTCGCAGTGGACAGTGGAAGAAGGCATCTGGTCCTGGGGACAGGCCAAGATAACATCATTCTGGGGGGCACACAGGCAAAGCCTGGCCTAGGTGGGAGTTGCTGGGCAGAAAAACTGGCACTTGTGATGCCAGTGGTGATTGCTATGCCTCTTCTGCAGCTGAGACATCACCAAAATTATGATGAGACCTTAGCAGCCAAATGGAAATGCCCTCACAGAGATGCCTTCTCAGGGAGATACTGGGCAAGGCCATACCTGATTCCCACCACTTTTGGGGTTCACAAACACCAGTAAGGGCTTCATAAGAGGAGCTGGCATGGGTTTGATGACAAAGGGTTTCCACCTCCCTTCCTGCAAGAGACACCACAAGTCCTTCAACAAACCTGGGGAAATGCAAACTTCCATCTCCAACTGAGCCCTAACATCACACAGGTCAGAAGGCTGAGGAAGAGAACATCTCAGTCACCCCGTAAACCTCATAGCTGGAATATACCCTGACAAGAGGCATCCTCCCTCCAGCTCAACTTTCTTAACCTCAGCACAGACCCAGTAAAGCCCCCTTTGTTTCCCAGCCCTGTGCCTCACTGTTCAGTCCCTCTGCCCTTCCAAGACAAGGTTATTACCTGTCCCCTGATCTCTTACCTCGGCCCCCTTTTTGCTGGATTTCCGCTTGAATGATGTCCTCTTCTTCTTCTTGCTAGATTTTAGTGGATTCTAGAGACAAAAGAAATAAACACAGAAACTCCGTGAGGAGCCACTGGGCAAGTGGGAGTTGTGAAAGAGCCACAAGAGCTGAGATGACTTACCTGGGGCCGCCGGACCCGCAGAATCCAAGTGGGAGGAACGACGACAGCAGCATGAGCCCCCAGCGAGCAGGGCTCTTCAATGTGTTGCAGCATGAAACAGGACACTTTGCTGTGATACTGTGGAATGAGAAGACAGAGAAAACTCAGCTGCTCATTCTTCTGGGGACAGCCAACCTCTCCTCCCAGCTCCTACATGCCAATGCAGGGAGTGCTGAAGGAAACCACAAAGAAATTTTGTAATGGGAAGTCAATGAAGAGAAAGTTTCTTGAAGGAGCTCACAAATACCACAGTAGAGCCTCGGTCAGTAGGAGGAGCTGTTAAGGACAGGCTGCAGAGAAGCAGCCTGGGGAGTGTAAGCAGAAAGCAGAGATCATTAGGTACATAACAGGCTGGTCAGGCATTCTATGGAGGATTTGCTCACCGCTTGCTTGCACCAGGAACAGCTGATGGCTACAATCTCTTTACTGTGGAAGGCAAACTTCTGCTGAAAACCCTGTGGAAGAAAGGACAAGAGGCTTAGGGAATTCCCTCAGGGGTTTCTACCTTCCAACAGGACTTTCCCACCACTAAGAGAGACATTAACAAAGAGAGCATGTCTGCAGCTGGAGCCCTCTAGATTCCCGTCAGATAGCCCCAACTACCACTGTGGCACCAGGGAGGTCACTGCGCTCTGCAGGGGCGTCCTTATTGCTCAAAGAAAGCATGACAGGAAGACAGTCTCCTCCAGGATTGATTGGACCCAGGGGGAAAACTACTCTATGTGGGAAGCACTTATGTAGTGCTTCACTGAGCAAAACAGAGCACGTGTCTTGGTTTTACTGCCAAACAAGAATGGTGGGATGTCCCTGGTTCCCAGCCCTATTCTTGTCTCTCATTTGACCTTAGATTTCCTGAGGCTGAGAAAAACACCCCAAGATACCCTCTCACCTTGCCACACTGCCGGCATTTCCCTTCCTGCCGCCTCCGGTGCACCCAGTGATGCCGGACAACAATGGGCTAAAGGGAAAAGAAAAAAAAGAATAGAAAAAAAAAAGGGAAATGAAAGGCCCAGCATGTGAAGGAATGCAGGAACAGGCAGAAAGAATGAACCCAAGCCACCCAGGACCACTGCTCTTGCTGCAAACCCACTGCTCACAGGCACCAGCCCCAACTCTCTGAGAGAAGGCAAAGCCAAAGAACTAGGGGGCATGAGGCCAAATTAAGATGCTCAGAGAAAAGGGAATCAAAACCAGAAGAAAGGAGGAGAGGGAAACTGAAGACTGAGAATCACAGAAAGCAGACCCAAGAGACAGGGGGCAAGCAGTAGGACATATCAGTCCCTTAACATCTCTGTCCCGATGCCCCTAGTGCCAATTGAAAAACCTGCTGGTGGAATGTGTGACAATCCCCAGGGAGACATAGTTTGTGCCCATGGAAAGACAGAAGTGCTTGCAGCTAAGCAGAAAACCTACTCTTCTACATTCCTCTAGGAGAGTGGTGGTCCCAAAGCCCCCCACACCCACTTCTCCCTGCTCTTTACTGCAGGGCAATCCTGCAGCCTGCCTCAGTCCCAGGGTGGGCAGCAAGCAGGCATCTCCACCCTGCCTTGCAGGCTCATGGTGGGAGAGGGCTGGGACTTGCAGGAGTGATTGTGAGGGACTCAGAAGTTTTGTAAGGAAGCACCACACGTCCTAAATCCCACCCTATGCTTCCAGCCCTGGCTTGGGAATGGCACTGCAGAGGGAGTAGCAAAAACAGAAGAGGGAGTGAGAATTCATAGGCTGTGGCAGGGCCCAACATCCTGCTCCTGACAGCTTTTGGGATCATGATGATAGAAGCAGAAACTAGCAGGAGGTTTGGGTCAGCTCCAGTGTTGCCTGCTCTGAGTGCAGCACACTGGAGAGGACAAAAAGACCTGTTGGCTTTAGCAGACATGAATCCAGTAGGAGCAGAAGGGGGGCTATGCCTTGAGCTCAACTCTTGAGTCCCAGCAGGCACATCTAGGGAAAGGGTTGACCCCGAACGGGATCCCTGGCACCACAAAGGCCAGAAGGGTACATTTCTAGGGAAAGGGGAAGGAAGAGGCCTTGAAGGAACTGAGAAGCATTTGAAAGACAGGACGGAAAAGTAGAGTTTGAGAGAAAAAAGGAGAAAACAAGAAAGGGGAGAGAAAATTTGTGGAGTTTGGACAGAAGAAAAATAGAGACAGAAGATCGAGCAGAGGCAGAGAGCTGTCAGCAGAGCCCCAACTGAGGCACAAATAGGTGAGCTAGGCTAAGGGTGTTATGGGAAAGAGATACAGCAGGAAGAGCAAAGCAAGAAAGGAAGGTTTAAAGTGATGCTGAAAGCTTCACTTTCTGATGTCACACTGGCATTTCAAAGCAGGCAGCCCTGTGTTTGAATACCTTTCCCCTACTGATCTGCTGTGCCAGCACAAACACAGTGTGGAGGCAGCTGTGTTACCATTATGGCCCATGACTGAGCCATCCACACCCACTCCAGAGCACTGCATGGGCTACACTGGCTCCATAGGCTGGAGGGTGAAACATGAAGGCTGAGAGTTGCTTCCATCAGTGCAGCTCAGCAGACAGGTCCCAGGCCACCTCTTATACCCAGTACCTTAAAACATGTGCTAAAGTGGTCTGATAGCACCACTGCAGGCACCTTCCACTGCTACCTGCAGTACCTGTGACACCCTGGTCAGCGCTGAGTGATTAAGCAAGAAGTGAGCCCATACTGCTTGCTTCCACATTGCAGACTTGGGAACCTGCTGTTTGCCATAGCCCTGTCTATTGTGCCTGGGGACCAATACAAGGGGGAAAGTTTATTCCAGAAAACAGTCTGCAGGTTCTCCCCATGCAGATTCAGGAACCTCAGAACATGCAAGCCTTCATATGCTTTACATTTGCTGTCTGCAAGCTCCCCCCTCCTCACACTCAGTCTGCACTGCTGCCTTGCAAAGAAACATTCCTTTTACTGCACCACCTCCTTGGAGCAGGAAGCAGCATGATGCCTGCACTCTGATGGGAAAGATGCTGGCACCATCTGGTGTCTTTGTCACCACACTGGAAAGGGCAGAGGCAGATGTGGGCAGTGTCCGAGGCACATCTCTCACCTCCCGTATGTTCCGGGATCCTGACTCCCTGAAGGAAGGTTTGCAGCGGAAATTTATCTGTAGAGGGAACACACATGAGAGGAATCAGTAAAATCATCATATCTGAAGGCAACCTACTGGAGTTTACTGTACTACAGCAAGGCTCAGAACCTCTGGAGCTGTTTGGTACTTGCTGCAAAACCCTCACATATCTCTGTTACTGAACAAAATGGGGCTGAGGGTCCCAACCGTGTCACTAGATGCTCCTTTTGGCACTGTCTCCTTAGAAGACCCCTCTTTGCAATTACACATTGCAGTTCCTCAATCTTCTTGTGTTTCATTGCCAAAAAGGAAGGGTTGTTACAGTTTTGTGAGCTGCAGAGAGGGCTCAACAGGCTCTACTCACTTTCTCCAGCTGTTCGATGCAGGGTGTATGCACTACAATCTTGCAGGCTGCACACTTACGCCTGGAGAGTGGTTTTTGCTGCAGGATGAGAAAAGGGGAAGAAAAACACACATGTGAGTGAAAACATGCACTGTTCTGAGGCTGGTGAACTCAGCTTTCCATTCATACCACCTTCACATATACTATGGGGTTTGTTCTGTATCCCGGTAAAGTTAGACACAGCCTATACTCCTTGCAAGTGAAGGGATCTAAGCATGTGCCTACAGCAGATGCTTTTAAGCCTGGAACAGAACAGAGAGGTATTTTCCCCACTGTCCTGTCCTGCAGTTCTTGACCTCTTCTGACACTGCCTGAGAGCACCATGGGAGCTGGTCCAGGAGGCACCTGCAAGGCTCCCACAGTAAACCCCATGGGCAGGCACAGAGTGGCATCACTGCTCCATCCTACACCATAAGTAGGACTGAACCTGCAAGCTCGGAGGGAGGACTGCAACAACCTGTAAGAACAGTGCTGCTTGCGGGGGCCTGGGTCACCAGCACTCACTTTTCTCCTCTATTGAAAGGTCTTGGACTCAGATTATCCTTGTAAGGGTGTGGGACCCTAACACCCTCTACCTGGAATACTCTGGGCAAGTGGCAGCCCTGCATCAGGTTCCCACTGTAAACTGAGCATCAGCACTGGCAGAAACTACAGACTCAGCCCTCTAGTACACAGAGGTAGGAGGGACACACTCCCTGCCCTGGCAGCTCCCCAGACCTCTGCATGTCCCCCAGCAGCAGCAGCACAGACTCTGTGGTCACTCATCACATGACAGCCCAGCCCATATGTGCAGCCCTTACCGGGGAGGTGTGTGACCCCAGGTGACTCACCAACAGCTTTGCCATGCAGTTCTGCTCCCCGACGTAGCAGAAGTCCCCAGAGACACTGGTCTCAAACCAGATGTGCTCCCCATATATCGCAGTCTCCTGAAAGGCACAAGACAACACATTTCTCTGAGAGCACCCCCAGACAGACAACCGAGCCCCTAAAATGCTTTATGCAAGGGACAAGATATTAGGCAATGCTAGCAGGTGGGAGGGGTAGGCCAGGAGACACGATGCACACAACAAAGAGGGACAATATCTGAACAGAGGAAACCTCACAAAGCTGCTGCCATGGCCCATCTGTTGGAAATGAGAGGGCCCCAGGAAACTAACTCCTACACCCCCATTGCAGTATCCTGCACAAGGGAGATGATGCTTCACCCCCTGAGAGAGGCATCAGGACAAATTCAGTGCAGGGGACTCTCCTGAACCAGCTTCTGCTTTCTGCATCCTCAGGATGCATCTTAAAGCCTGCTGGGCTTCGCCTGCAAAGGAGCAGGGACTTGCTCCTTGTTGCTTGGCCCCAGCCACCAGATCTCAGCTGTCAGAAGCAGAAGAACTGGCAGTGGAGTAACTATGTCATCCTCCCAGGAACCACCTGTGTGTGCACAGCTTCTCCTTGCAGCATCAAGCAGTGCTGCCAGCAGCACAGACATTGGCACCAGCTGGTGGCAATGGCAGAGGCCATAAATGTGTCAAAGTCAGTCACCTGGGAAGCCTCAACCTGGGAAGAGCCTACTGCTTCTTGGCTGGGACCCTATTCCATGCAGTGCCCAGCAAGATGAGCTACAACTTACGCTCCAGTCCACAGTGTTGCGTATCTGCCTCTCCGAGTCGCTCCTCAGGGCGAGTGCAGGGTTTGGCTGGGCTACCATGTGTTGGAGACTGGATTTGGCAATAGCTTTCCTGGAAGACACAGGGAGGCTGCCTATTAAATCAAGGTAGGAGGAATAACAATCTGCTTCTAAGATGCAATGTCAGGCTGGAGCAGACAAGCCTCCTCAAGACCAAGTGGCTGGAAATGAGGCGCATCTCCAGCACAGCTGGCTGAGGAGAGCCTGTTCCTGTGAGACAGCCCTGTGGGACGAAGAGGTGCTGGCCACATTGCTGACAGCTCAGCTAAAGACACCTCGTACCCAGCAAAAGGCACAGCCTGGGCCTGCTGGGTCAATGCCCTTGGGGATGATAGTTCCATTGCAAAACACCCTGGCAGTTTCCAACAAGCTGTGGTGGTGGGGTTGCCTTTGCAGGGACAATCCAGAGCCCCTGGCCCACAGAGGCTCCCTGCAGCTCTCCCATACCAAGGCACCTCAGAGCCCGAGGTTCTTGCAGGGACCAGCACAACCAGCCAGAATAAAAGTTGCTGGTTTTTTGGGGCTAGCGAGCTTCTCCCAGATGTGCTAGGGTGGAGGAAAGCAGCAGGTGGATCCAGCCAGCAGGATAAAGTGTGTATCTCCAGCCTACAACCAGGCCTGCCATCTCCCTATGGCCCCAATCTGGCAGGAGAGGACAACTGCAAGCCCCAGGGGCTGCACTGAGAGCATCAGCGGCAGCAGTGGCCTGAGTGGAAGGTGCTCAAGGTATACCAGCAGCACTGCAAAACACCAGTGGCAACCAAGGCCAAAGCACCAAGCCCCTTCCCGCCTTCCCCACCAAGCCTGGGTCTGCACCCAACCTCTCCCCTCCCCAAGGCACTGATTGCCACTTGCACGCTGTCACCATACATACAGCAACCGGGGGCTCCAGCCATCCGGGGCAGCATGGCAGGCGGACTTCGGTCCCACGCCCTCGGGGAGGGTGGCAGAGGGGCACCCGGCTCTGGCCACCCCTGCACAGTGCTGGGCCAGCAGCCGTGGGTGGCTGGAGGGCAGCAGCCCCGGTCGGAGGGCATCGCTGGAGCGCCGGCGCTGGCTGAGGCGGCGGTAGCGGCCCGGCAGGCCGTAGGCAGCCCGGCTGTACACGACCTCGGTGGGCAGGTGGTGGGAGGAAGAGCGCCGAAGGCAACGGGGCCGCCGTGACAGCAGCCCCCCCTGGAGCGGTCGCAGCTGAGGCAGCATGGCCAGCCACGTCTCCTCAGCCCAACGCTCATGCTGGCCCTGGTCAGCTTCTGCTGCTGCGCCACCATCCTCCAGAGACTCGGATGTGGAGCTGTCAGCGTGGGGAGCCCTGTCCCCCTCCTCTCCCATGGGAACAAGGTTGGCCAGGAGGACAGAGGGACCCAGCAGTTGGGCATCAATGGCTTGTGCCTGACCCCCGCGCTTCGCCTGCACAGCGAACCTGGGGCTGAGGCAGGGCGGTGTGGTGCTGGAGCGCCGGCGGGTGCCAGGACGCCGGACCAGGCCCAGGCAGGAGAGAGAAGCCTCTGGGGTGCCGGAGCCGCGGCGGCGCTGGGCCAGCATGGTGGAGGGCAGCCCCACCTGGGAGCGACGCCTGGCCTTGCCCGTGGGCACGGCCACCACGCTGGTGCGCCGCAGCCCCTTCCGTCCAAAGTGCCGCCTAAAAAAGGTTTCCATTGCAACTGGATGGTGGCTGTTCAAACAGAGACCAGGAATTCAGTAGGTTCCCCCACAGGTCCCCAGGCTAGGCTGCGGGGGTCAGGGCAAGGAGTCAGGAGAAAGCAGGGAACAGAGGGCTGAAGCACGCAGTGGGGGACATGGCAATGCCTCCTGGGGCATGTGGCAGGTTCCTGCTCCCCACAGCTTTACTGCTCCCTGAGTTTCACTGCTCAGCCCAGGGGGCTGTGATGGCAGGGCAGGTGTTCCCACCCAACTGGGACCCTCTGCATTCTCTGCTCTCTACTGTGGGATCAGCAGAGACCCTGCACTCCAAGATGCCAATCAGCCCTGGCAACTCAACTACCCCCACCGCTCTCCTGATGCTGGTCTATCTGGTTTCCCCACAGGAACCACTCTGGCTAAGCACCAGTTCCACCAAATTTGCAGCAAATTGAAATTAAGCCCTTGCGAATGCTACAGAAGAAAATGAACCAGGCAAGTAAAAGCAGTGCAGGTGGATTTGGTAGATCTGGCTATCTCCAGTGCTCCCCTCTTCCAGAACTAGTGCTTTGCTTCCCACCTTCCAGCTGCCACCTCTCTTCAACTGCTAGAGAGGATTTATTCAGGGCCAACTCAAAAAAACCCACCAAAACCCACAGTTTGGTAGAAGCAAACTTCTGGCTTTTCAATTGCTCCCAAGGCAGGGGACTCTGGATCATGGCAGCCTGCAAGCACACACAAGCCAACACCACCACCACCACTCTCAAGGATTTCAGTTCTGTACAAGGCATCTCCTCTACCCACCACAAGAGTATGGGCATGCTGCTCCCCACTACGCTAAGACTGACATCTGCTCCGCTTGCTTCCATCTTCCTCCCTTCCTATGCTCTTTCACACACTCGCAGGTCAGCAATAACAGAGAATCTTCAGCAGAATACCCTAGCCCAAACTTTTAATGTCCCAAGGCCCACACAAACAGGCAAACTTGTCAGAAGCTTCTTCCCTTTTTATTTGGCAAATGCTGTAAGATGGGACATATTTTATTTTCTGGACAAACTGGAGTTTTTTATAGTGCTTGTAGCACAAGGAGCTGTAGTTTTGTGGTGTTTTTTTTTTTTTTTTTTCTAATATTGGAGTATAAAGCTGACTTTATATTTTTGGAAAAGACCAGGCTTGGTTTGGATTCCTCCAGCCTGGTGGGCAAGGAAATCAGTTCTTTAGTTTGTACAGTCTGATCACCATTGCCTGTACTCAGTTATGTAGCACAAAGAGAGAAGGAAGGACAGCGATGGCCTCCAGAGAGCAGCATCAGGGCAGCTAAAGCCTGGCTGAACTGAAAGCAAAACCAAAGCGTCACCTCTCCAGAAGTATTTCTCATGTCCCACCACTGCAAGCGATGCAGGCAGGCACTTGGTCACCAGAAGGTTCAATCTACCGAGGTCCATGCAGCTTTGCAGAGGGCAAAAGCACATTTTGTTGATGACCCTGATTCCAGCCTGTCCCTAACACTGCAGTGCTCCATTCCTGTCCTCTCCCTCCGTTGTCTGCAGGACGATGCACAGTAAATTGCATAGAATCTGAGAATCCAGACTTCCCCCATACAACTTGAGGCCATTTCATTTGTTCTATTGCTTGTTACTTGGGAGAAGACACAGATCCCACAGCCTGCTACAGCCTCCTTTCAGGCAGCTGTAGAGAGCAATAAGGTCTCCCCCAAGCCTCCTTTTCCCCAGGCTAAACAACTCCAGCTCCCTCAGCTGCTCTTCCTATGATGTGCTCTCTAGATCCTTCATCAGCTTCATTACCTTTCTCTGGACATGCTCCAGCACCCCAATGTCCTTCTTGCAGTGAGGGGCTGAAAATGGGACACAGGATTTGAGGTGCTGCCTCACCAGTGCTGCAGCACACAAAGAACAATCACCTCCCTAGCCCTGCTGGCCACCCTATTTCTGATACAGCCCAGGATGCAGTTGGCCCTCTTAGCCAGCTGGACACACTGCTGGCTCATGTTCAGCCAGCTGTTTACCAACATCATTACCAACAGGTGTTAAAAATTGTCTGAACAAATAAAACATTAAAAAACGCAAGTGAGAACGCTGTTTGGATGTGACACACCGCAACAGATCCTTTTTGGCCGGCTTTAGCTGCTGGGGTAGACATACTGACCAACTGCACCTCAAATAAGCTGAACGGCTGCTCCCTCCTGTCCCATATACTCCACCAGCATGAAGCTGCTGTGGGCAGGAAGGTCTCTCAACACAGCTTCCTTCCTTTTTGCACCAGTCTCGTGAGGAAATCTGCTAGAACAACCTTGGCTTGACATTTATGTTTGAGTACTAGCTGATTACCGGCCTTTTTACCTTCAGGGCTGTCTGTTAGCGGCACACGGTCTCAAGCTCCAACCACCAGTGGTGAAGGTTATTATGAGACAACCCTCTGACAGTCCATGACAGCAGGACACGGCAGCTCAGATATGCTGGATGAACACATCCCCACCTCTTGCATCTTACTTCCAACCTGAGCTCCAAATGGTATATTGCAGGCATTGAGAGCTGCTGCTGGCAGAGCAGATGGACAGACTGCCAGGGGTGCTCAGGGTAGATATGCATCAGCAGAGTTGCATGCAGAGCAGCCAGGGAACCACGCACTGGGCAGAGAGGAGCCTGAGAGGAGCTAAGCCCTGGAAGCCCCTGGCCTAACAGCAACACACTCCTGGGATCTGCACTTTTTGCCACTGAGAGAAAGAGAGAAGAGCTAGCACCTGTGGCTGCTCTGCAGACTGCATGGCTCAGCTCAGTTAGGTAAGGAGGCTGGATGGGGGCAGCCTGGCATTCGCAGGGTGCAAAGGAAAGGAAGTACTGCTGCATGCACTAGGATATCAAATCTACTTTTGAGCAGATACGCCCTATCATTTCAATCTCCTGTGAATAAGGAAGAAGACAGCAGCTCTGGTCTGCTCATGATTTTCAATCAGAGCTCTTGGGAGACGTCTTTTTTTTTTTTTTTTTTTTGTGATAACCAGATCCTTCAAAGCCTCCTACACTCCCAGCCTGGCCTCAGTGGGCAGAGACACTGCTGAAGCAGGAACATGTCCTTGCAGGATCTAAATGCCCTTGAAAAGCACAGCAGGGATCGAAGACAAAAACTTGCATCTTGTAACTTCAGTGGACATGGAGCTCATGGATCAGCTGATTCAGAGACATCTCTCCAGACATCCAGCAGCCATCCCTCATGTGGTGGTGGTAGTTCTAAAATCAGACAGGCCGACTCCCAGGGCTAAACACGCAGTGTCCATCATGGTATAACCTCTTGCCCCCATCAGGAGGAGAATCTGGATATCCGGCTCCATTATTCTGCTTTGCTCCACTAGCCTCAAGCAAACATCCATATACCAAACTGAACAGGCCCTCTGTGCCCTCAGATACATAGAGCGATCTTGTGCCATATGCCTGCTTAGCCCTTCTCCATGTTATTATTCCCTTTGTCCCTCTAGCAACCTGGTCTATTCCTGCCAGTGCCCAGAAACAGAGATCCCACATTACCTTCATACAGTGGCATATTTGGCACCTGTCTCCTGGCACCAAAGGTAGCAAGAGGACCCTATGCAGGACACTGCTGGCAGCAAACACACAAGTCTTGAGTCACAGAGAAGCCTGGACATGAAAAACACCATTAGCTCCTCCTGACCTTTCAGCAAATCTCCAGTTAGTCGACTGGAAAGCATTTTTTCCAACCACGGGACTACAAGGAAAACGAGTCAGAGCGCTTCACCCTGTTCCATGACGAGCACCTGTCCTGATGGCAGCTGGCTGGGTTCCTGCATCCTGGCTTGCTGTGGGTGCTGGGGAGCTGCAGCGGCACTGGAGCTGGCAGCATGCACACAGGAGCCTGTTTCAGTTTATAAGCTGTCTTCGCCTGTCAAGGACTCTTGACTTGTACAGACCAACCACAAGGAAAGTATAACTGTTATTAATAGCCATCCCTGCGTGACAGCCAGACCTCCTGGGCTTCTGCCTCTCTGTCTCCTCCCTGCTAGGACACCAGAGGGACTGAGGGACAAAAGCCTGGGAGCCCATCCAGAGAGCTGCTGCTCATCCCCACCCATCCCCACCCACCACTTGCCTTCAGCCTCAGTTTCTATCACAAGCTTGCACAGCCCACATCCCCCTTTCAGTGCTCTGATGTTTAATCTTCCCATGTACGTTGCCATCCTCACACCACCCTTGCTGAGATCCTGTCCGTGCTCTCCCATCCTGCTTCCCACATATCAGTCACCAGCCTCTCCCATTAGGGCTCCCTGGCCAGCCCTCTCCAACGGGCCACAAAGAGCAACCTGCACAGATGAGGTCTGCTGAGGAAGGTGCCCCTGTGCCAGATAGGGAAGAGAAAATTCTGGACAAGATGTAGTGCAACCCTCAGGCTTTCGCTGCAGCAGTCAGCAAGTTCCCAAACTGTGCAGTTTGTTTCTACTCAGAATTTCCGTTCCAGCTGTCATCTCTCCTACCATCATGCAAATAAAAAAGTCAGGAGTTGCCCTATGTTGGGTCTGGTATGAGCAAGGAGATGGGGCTCCCCCCATCACAGTGGCAGGGAAGCTCCATCCAAACCATGAGCCTTTCAAAGAGCTCATGAGGGGTGAGCTTTGGGCTACGCTCAGTTGTTTGGGATTCATACATTTGACCTCCTGCAACAAGTGTCATCACCTATAGGGGCCACAGCACCTCACTCCCAGGCTTCTGAATGCAGGAGCACAGCATTCCCAGGGCAAAGGACATCCTTGGTTGCACTGTCACCCTTCAGAGGAAGACATTACTGCTACAACCTTAAGGTTGCCCCTTCAGGCTGCAGAAGGCCGTTTCTGGTCCTAGCAGGGCACTCAGAGGGGAACGGGTCTCCACCTATCTCTGAGTGAGCCCTGGGCTTGATCAAGACAAATTCAGACCTCTCTTCTAGTGAAAAAGCAACGAAAGTGCTTAGAAACCAGCTGGTGATCAGATGCATGCAGCTGCAGAGAACCTCCTCCCAGCCCTGAGGTCCTTGGGGTCTCTGCACATGATACACAGAGGGCCCTGCAAGGGTTACTGGGCATGGACAGCAAGAGCAAGACACCCCTGGCAATATCAAAGCAAGATTGCTAACTTGTTCAGAAGCCTGCCAGTGTCACTCTGGTTGATCAACCTGGAAGCCCTGGGACACCACAGCTTCACAAGGGAT